AGATAAGAAGAATTTAGAAGTTTTAGAACTTCTAAGCGATGAAGACCAGAGAAAGACATCAACGAAGAAGTAACTAAGAAGAAGATGTTAAAACTCAGAACGTTTTTTTTGTGTGAGAAGAACTCAAATGAGATCGAAGCAACAAAGTTTAAAATTGAAACTGAATGAAGGAGAAAATTTTAGTTGATTTTTGAGTTAAAGAATTTGTTGCATTAACAAATTTGCATTATGATTTCACTTAGTGTTTTTAAAGATACTTCCTATTTTTTGTAGAAAAGGCTTGAGTGAAAAGTATATTAATTATTCCAGCCTGCATGGTTGTTTTTAATCAACTAAGATGACTGATCACTTTGTGGTGATATGAAAGACTTGAGTAATCTCTTGAGAAAGTAGCTTATTCCATTATTCCTTCCAACCACCAAGTTTCCTATTTTTATTTTTTAGGACCAATAACAACGAAGTTCCCGAAAGATATGGTATGATAATTTTAGTTTGTTGGTTGGCAGAACTCTCCTGCGTCCCAACATCTTTTAAAACTAGGTTAAGAAGTTTTGAGTCAAGATAAGGGCGCTAAAGTCAGAAAAGATGTTTCATCTTCAGTCACATCCTCAAAGTGCAGATCAGTAAAAAAGTTAGAAGGCTACAACTGTGTAGTATGATGCCATTTGTATTCTGCAGTGAGTCAATGTGATGTGGATAAAAGTGATTTCTTCCATTTTGAAAATTCTTTCCGATGGCACTGTACCAAGTTAATGAACACCACGTGACTCAATGAGGACACTGACCGGGCTGTCCGGGGAGTATGTGACAATAGACCAGAATGGCGCCAAAATGCATGGCAATATCGAGTTTTTATAAGAGCAGCCGAGTGAGAAAATGGGCAGTTTCGATGGGTTAAAAGCATACGAAGCTGTGTTTAGACGCTAGCCAGGCTTTTCATAACCTAGCTTTTTTCCCGTCGATATGTATTTCTGGGCGATTGTTACAAAAAGGCCGGGTATCAACATGCGGGATGAGATCAGGAGAAGGGTGCTAATTCATAGATTTTAGTCCAAGTAATTTTGGGTTGAGAATATTGAACATGTAAATCAAAAAAACTGTAAAATCAAAAACTTAGTGTAAGGAAACACCAAGTAAGATTTAAAGTCTCAGAAGTTTTAGGAAAAGTAAAGATAACGAAATTCTTATGTAGTGATGCTTAAATTTGATGGTGGAAAGAGTTTAATTTTTTGCTTAGAACCACTCAATTTCGTTTATGATGTTTCAACGTCCGTAAATCAAACAAATTGACATCAGTTTTTTTTAACTTGGCAATGAACATAGTTCAGAGAACATTCTAATTCTCATTTTAATGATTTTTCTTCTGGAAAATATGTGCTCTGAACGAAATTGTAATATTAGTGATTACTCCGAGATCTTTTTCTTCCTCTACTTAGGCAGTTCTTTTACGTAGAAGCAATAGCTTTTTTAACTACCAACTTTTATATTTGCAATCGTCTTTTAGCCTAATAGTTGTGCTAAACTTAATAAAAACTCTTTGTTCAAATTTACCGCTTTATTGTTTTCATGTCATATGCGCGCTGGGCTTTCTTCTTCTGATTATCTAACCAAATCTCGCCGTCCCAGCCGTAGCCGAGTGAAGCTTCCCTGGCGCTATATGGATGCAAAATGGAGTGAGTAGGTGGAACTACCCTTCAACAACATCACAGGTTGTACCGTTCCTACTTATCAATTTTTTATTTTTTTTTTCATTTTTTACTCTGAGATTTAAATTAAACTCTTTCATTCATTGGCCATCCATTCCCCCAACTTTCTATGTAAGAGCTTTTCCGTTGCCTTCGCTGTCTGTGTTTCAGGTCGATGCCCCGATTCCAGGCAAGGCGCATCCCTGACTTTTCACAGAAGCTTGTAATTAGCACATCAAGACAAAATATATCAAACTAGCTCTAGTAAAATCTACAATTCACTCTTACCGCGTCGCTACACTCCAAGATATGTATGAAACTATTTTACAAAACAGACCAAAGCGCCTTAATACAGTTACCATTATTGCCGGGCTTAATGATATTCAAAATATTTTGGATATCATAAAAAGGCATTGAAATGCCAGCTCCTTGTAAAAAATGAAAAATAAAATGAGGCGATAAAAGTATTCAAAAATACCGAAATTAAAAAGAAAAAATGGGCCAGAGTACTTGGTTCTGTCATTGAATCCGAGACTGAATATAAAACTTCCTTAGAATTTAGGTAGAAGAACATAAAAAAATAATGAAAAACTTAGCAAGATCGCAAAAACATCACCACAAAACGTGTACTCCTGTTACACCAAAGGGTATCAAGAAAAATTATCGCTTTTAGCTAGAACTACACCCAATACCACAGAAAACATGCAGGCCTGCGAGAAGATACTGCAGGAAAATCTCATTCCAAGTTTAATTGGTAGAGATAATATCAGCCATCAAATTAGAGACATCGCTTCTTTGCCACTGAAAACGGGTGGTCTGAATATCAAGTAACCTTCTAACTATGAGAATTTTTTAGAACGACCAATTAAAACATCGACAGTCCTAGACACATACGACCCATTATAAGCTAAATCTGAGCAAGAAAAAGACTAAACAAAAATTAAAACACTTAAAACTGAAAGAACAAACCAAAAAAGAACTAACATTTTGAACAACTTGAGCGACAATGAAAAATACGCGCTTGAGCTGGCCTCCAAAAAAAGGCCTCAAACTGGTTAAATGCACTGCCTTCTAGTAGATATAATTTAACCTGAATAAATCCGAATTCCGGGATGGAATTTATCTCAGATATGGATGGGAACCAACCAATATTCCAATCACATGTGCATGTGGTCAATCTTTCGACCTTACCCACGCCCTTCACTGTGCAAAGGGTGGATACCCCCACATGAAGCATAACGAAATCAGAGATACCTTTGCGATCCTCATGAGCGAGGCTTGAAATTTCGGTCATTGCAAGGCGAGAGCTTTGTCAACAATTCAACCACAACTGAAAAAGACGCTCGATTAGATGTAAAGGCAAATGGATTATGGGGCTCAAGGTTTAACCGAACCTTCTTTGATGTCAAAGTCTTCAAACCGCACGCAAAAACTTCACGAAGACTACTGAAAGACGCCTATAAAAACCACAATTCACAAAAACACTCGAAATACCAAGAGAGAGTTCTACAAATTGAACAGGACATCTTCTGCCCGCTGTTTTGTGACTGCACTGGTCGTGCGGCACCAGCAGCTACTCGGACAATGCAGCGCTTAGCTGAAAATTTTAGTGAAAAATGGCATGAAAGCTACGCAGAAACAATGAACTATATAAGAACTAAGATAAGCTTCGCGCTGCTCAGGAGCGCTATCAATTGTATACGGGGTTGCAGAACACTGCGTAAGACGCAATTCATAGACAATTCAATAAGTGCTCTTGTAGAGGAGGGACGGTTGAAGTAAATACCTTCAATGACAATGCATTAAATGCTGACTTGACTTATTTCCTGCACTATTGTTTATTGATGTATTTATATAATGCTGGTATGGGCCCTTTCCAGCTTGTGCCCGACCGTACCTAAACGGAACGGTCCCTTTTTAAATTTACTATATCAACCCTTTATTGTCATTGTAGTAGAAGTTTGTGAATGACATGTTTTCCCTCATTTCAAGATCTTGAACGATTTTAACTTTTTAACATTCGCCCAAAGACTACACAGTGACGGAGCGTAGAAAAAGTACGTAATAACGACTGGACGGCGTCAGTTACCTTTATTCTACTCGTTTTTCACCGTCTCGACCAAGCCAGTTGATTTTTTGGTCTGTCTAGGGCTAAGTAAAAAGTAAAGTTACTATTTTTAGGCCATCAGTCAAACGAACTTGAATCAGCTTTCGTTCGAATGCGAACGCAACCACATAGCTGGGTCTCGGATCCTGAGACTACGTGATTGCTATTGAAAACACGGCTCCAATATCCTATTTTACCATGTTTTTGATGACAGTTCTATATTAAATCCATTGGAGATGGATTGACCCTTTCCTCTTTCTTGCTACTCATATTCTAAAACATCAATCAATACCGGTGTTAATTCAAAATTTTTTGGCATCAGAGTAGCTAATAAGTCGGTTCTCCATATACTGTCTCTGGGGGGCTGAGTCTCCGCTTCCTGATTTCACTGTAATAACGTCGTTATTACTCCCAATTCGTGGCACGGGAGGGTACTGCTCTTTACTACTTCCCCACTGAAACCTTTCCGCCTGTCGTCTCTAATTAGCTGTCTTATCCTGCGTGTCAGCCAAAATGGCCGTTTTTCGCACTTCTCTGAAATGCGACGTCACAATTCGAAACATCGAAAATTAAAATTGCAGAATATTCCGACCCTCCTTTTCATTAATAATTGATCGTTAAGGCCTCTAATTCCATATTCGTGTTCGGCCGGAAGGTTACGCTGTGCCAGAATGGCACACTTCAGTGGCCTTTATTTATCTCGCGGTGTAATTTCGCATCATGAGTAAATAGATATCTAATCGATAATTTTGAGTCAGGCATTGAGTTGAAGTATATTAGAAATAACACTGGTCCGAGGACATGGCTAGTCAGGGTCGGTTTTTTCTATAGTTATTGGTATTTTGATTTCTGCATAAAATACCCGGGACTCGGATCCCAATTCTTGAGATCTGAGAGTTGTGTTTCAAATTTTTCAAGTATCAGTGACAACTTCGTTACAGTTTTGATGCACATGTATCTGGTTAGTCTCGACTTCAGTCCTTGATGGTTGCTAAACTAGACATCGTTATGAAATCTATTTATCAGACCTGATGACTGTACGAAACAATTTGCTGGCATTTTTTTTAGCTGGAAGAGAGGTCAAAATTTAAACAATCACTAAAAGTTTTTGTTTTCGTGGTTCTGATTACAGCTGGCTGTTGATTTTTTGGGAGTTATTGTCCTTCATGGCCTTTTTTTTTGATTACGCATCAGTTGTAAACACGTTTTAGAGCATGGACTTGGTGAATAACAGCTTGCGCAGGCTGCATTCCCTTGTGGCAAAGATGAAGTATACCGGAGAATTTGATGCAGACAGGTAAAAAGTGTACCGTTTTTTTACGCAGTTTGCAGGGTTATAGTATGGTGATTTTTATCTAATTTTTGTTGTTTGTTCCGGCGACTCTCGAAGAAGTTTTAGCGTAGGCTCAATGTTTTCTTTAAAAAATTCAAGCCAATTTTGACAACATCAAGGAAATCTCGTATGAGGTTTAGTGTGGCATCATAAGAACGCTCATTTGATGTTACTCAGATTCTTAAAAATCCTAAAACATTCTCATGGGGTTGAAGGATGTCTACATATTTTCGATTTTCACACTAAATTAGACTAAGTTTATACGGGCTGAGCCCCGAAGTTTAATTCTACTACAATTTTAACGGTATTGTAAATTTAGCTAGCGGTCTTTCTGACTTTTTCGGTTATTTCAATCCCCCTATATAGAAAAAATAAATAGAAATATAGATAACAAAATTTGCAAAAACGGAGCTTTATTTTTTTTTTTATATAAGATCAATTTGGTTGAAATATTTGGCTACTTTCACAGCAACCGGCTAATCTCTTCTTGCCATGTTTTTGTTATATGTTTGCATCTGGTTTTAAGGATGAGAATTGGAGACAGTTACAGCTTACTACCCATTTGCAATTATGGTCTTCTTCATTTTTCTTCTAACCTGGCATTGGAAATATCGAATTTGGGACTAGAAGTCTACGGTACATCAGATTCAAAGTTTGTCGAATGCCTCTATCGGGTGAGTGATTACATTTGAGGGCTAGTAAATTTCAAAGACGATAAAAATATTCGCGGGTGATGTATGTTGCAGGTAATGAGAGATATATTCAATTATCAGCCTAAAATCAAGCAAACACAATTTCTATCTAGCACCGGCTTTGCAGAGAAAAAGATTTCGTTGGTGGCTGATGTGATGCAGGCCATCAATGAAAAGTACCCAATGAAACCCAAATCAAAAATTGTAGCAGCCAGTAGGGTTTTTCCACCGAACCGATCTGCCCCACCAAACGTGAGTAATTGAAATGCAGTGCTAATTGCATACGTAAGTAAAGTAGGTTCGAAGTAAGTTAGTTAAAAGTCAATTCTAAACGACGTGATTTTATAAAATGCCACTTTTTAAATATGCTGAATTGTTGATGTTCGATTCTTTGAACAATGTGAAAAATTGATAGAGCCCGTTAAAAAGGATCAGTATTAAAAGAGATTGGGCGAAACTAACCAGTAAAAAATAAATTGATTAATACTCACTTTTATGAAGAATAGCCAAGCCTTAGGATAGGTTGAGTACATCCGGAAAAACATCCCTAAGTTGAGCATAGCGCATAGCAGCAACATCCAAACTAACATATAAAATACAATCAGAACTATAAATGACAATTGCCAGCAATGGTATATTATAATAATGTTGAAATAACATTGTAAACTTGTTAATGTTATTTGTCTCTAGGGCGATAAAAAATATTACACACGCGTTATGATGACTGGCACAACAATTGTCACATTAAGTTACAATTGTTTAGAAATTATAGCAGAATTGAATGCTACTAAAATAGCTGTATCAGAATGGCTGCATAATCATATTCTTCTTTGTTCCAGATGGGAAGAGTGGAGCGAAATATACCCCTAGAAGGTGGGTGGGTTCATTTGTTTCTTAAACTGTTTTGATTTGTAGCGGATTTTGATTTGTAAAAGTCCAGTCTAAGAAGGATAGCCGATTACTGTGCAAGTAGCTCAGATTATTCCGACCATAGTTTCAAAAAAACTACAAGAATAGAAGTTTTTTTTTCAAATTAATGTAGTTTTCCTGCGAGGCGTAATAAAAGAATCGGATGTAAAACTATAACTCAGGCATATTCGACAGTCATAGTAATATAGGCAAACAGGACAACGGATTTTGAAAAATGACTAGAAAAAAATATAAAATTGCAAAAATATATATTTTTCAAATGTGTTTTTTTTTGCTGAAAGTTTTTGATTCCCGAAATGGCTTTAAAAATCTTCAAAAACTAATTTAACCAGAGTAAAATTAAAAATTAGCGTACTCTTCGCTTTGCTCGCTCGCATTCAGGCAAAAACTTCAAACCCGTTTTTCTCAATGGGAATAACGACCGAAGAGCTGTATTATAATATATTTCTCAACCCTCTCCGATGATTGTTTGTGGCATCTGATTTCGTGTGGAAAACAAAAAATAGGAAGAAAAAACTAAAACACTCGAATACAATGCTCCTCCCTATTTTTCAAACGGTCGGAACCAGACTAATTCATTGCACAAGCAGAGCGTAGTGTGATTGTATTATGCAATTTTTTTCCATGTGCAGTGTGCTTTGTCTAAAAATTTTTTGTAAAGTTTGGATTGTCGAACTACCGCTTGTCTGCGTATGTTTGTTGGCTTAATTTTGACAATTTTATTTTTTCTTCTATTATGAGCAGTTGTTTCTGCTTTTGAAATTTGCGATTTTGTTGGTTGCAACCTTACGAGCTGTGATTTTGAGAATTTTCCGTTTTTTTTTGCTTAAACCGTTTATTCGGCCAAAATAATTTGAATTATGCTATATTGTTTGAGTTATGCTATATTGTTAAATCATCTTATTTTAATTTGAAGGGCTAATTTAGGTTTTACTGCGCGTAATTGCTTAATTATGCTATATTGTTAAATCATCTTATTTTAAGTGCTGATTTAGGCTGATTTAGGTTTTACTGCGCGTAATTGCTTAGTTTTGGTTGAAAGTAGAAACTTCGAGTTTGATATTTCTTCAAAACTGGTTTTTGGAAAATGTTTTTTTTTCCTGGCTTAGCGGTCATCTATTATGCTATATTGTTAAATCATCTTATTTTAATTTAACAATATAGCATAATAAAAATCGGGCTTCACGTAGCCCGATTTTTTGAAGTATCAGATTTCTTTTAAATTTCTGATTGCTCTTTCTTAAGCGCCATTGATAGAGGTAATTGATTTACAATATTTTTTTGAGAAACTTCAGTTGCATTTTTTATGAACAGATTTTTCATCATTTTTTCAAATAAAGGTTTTTCAAATTATACTCTTTTGTTGCAAAATTTTTAACTCCGTCGGTTAATTTGCTCAGTGTTATTTCGCTTGCGGTTTTTAACCTTATGATTAACAAGCGTTATCAATTCGGAACATACTGTTTCTTGTTACCAATTTTTCTAACAGAATTATAGAACCATGTTCTCAAATATGCACCTTCGTCAGCCAACAGACATGTTTTGCTCATGTCTCTATATCAAATCCCCTTCTAATTCAATTGGAATTGTTGATGTTGGTTTTTACCACCTCTGAATAGGTATATTTTCTATTGCATTGTTTTTTTACTGGGCTTAGTGGTCTCATATTGCTCAGTTGGATAAGCGAATCAATTTTTTTAGGCTTGTGAGTTTTTTGAGGGGGAAATTTTTTATTTTCAAAAAATTTTTCTGAAAAATGCATTTTTGGCTGCTCAACGTTTTTTTAAAGTGCAATATGTGTCTGCTGAAAAAGTGTCGGCTATATTACCGCTTTGTAAGATTTGTTTAGATGCAACTTTTTTTCAATTTTCTTTACAATATAAGACAAAGATATGAAACTTTTGGTAGATCTACCTTTTCTCGATATTTCAAAAATTTTTCTCGACTTAGCGGCTCCTGCTCCTATTTTTTTTCTGCTATTATGTCTTTCTATTTGTCATTATATTATTGTGTTATATCGCACGTGGTGCGAAGCTATGCTTCGTCACTGTGTCTGAAAAGTGTCAGTCATTAAACGTTCTTGAATTCAAATGCTTTGTCTTTGAAAGCTGCAAGTTTTTCAAAATAAATCAATTTTTTGTGGTCTCCGTGATTTCAATGTGCTTTTTCTACTCTATGTTGGCTTTAAAAAATTAGATTCAATTTCGGATTAGTTTTTGAAAAATGTTTCCAGCTTTTCATGGGTCGGTCTTAGTTATATATTGTCATTTTCTGAATTTGGCAAAAATCTAGCACTGTTGGTATTGTCTTATTTCTGTAAAAAGAAAATCAGTAAAAAGAAACAACGTTTTATTACGATAATTGTAATTGTGCTGTTTTTGAACTGTTTTTGAAATTCATGATATTTAAGAGTAATAACATAGAGAGGTCTTGTTGATTTTTGTTGTTTTTTTTTTCAGGAAAAAGTCTGGAAATTTGTTCATGCTCAATTTTGATTCTTTTGCGGTTTGACTTGAGTTTTTTTTAAATTTCTCTTCATTTCGCTTGTTAAAAGGAAGGAAAACTCCACTATTGAAATGCAAAAGTGTTGAAGGTCGCGAAAAGTTTCTAATTTCGACTTCTAATTTCGAAAGTGGAATTTAATCAGGTTAATGAAGGTTAATTGTGTAATAAAATTCGATGCAAGAGAACTTCGATTTTTTTTTATCAAATATCACTTTTTCCTTAGTTTTGCTTTTTTCAAAAATATTGTGCCTTGTGAATTAAATTGTGGCAATTATGTTTCATCAACAACTGCAAGTTTCCTTAGATTCAAATATTTTTGAGTATGTACAGGCTAGGCTGTCATGCAATCTGATCACCATTGTGGTATCTTGTAAAATTTCAACTTCATCCGGCAAATGACTGCTCAAAAGATTTGATCAAAATGAATCTCGGTAAAAAGTTTTTTTTTCAGGTGTTTTCCTCTTATGGCTTAGCTCATATAAATTGAGACCTAAAGAGATAAGTTAGGAAAAGTTCAAATTTTTTTTTGAATGAGTCTGGCCAAACGACCTATTTTTCATTATATACTGCCTATTTAAATTTATTACAGTTTGTCTTATGTTCGTACATACCGCACTTGCGGTTGATTATCTGTATTTCAGACTCTTATATAGGTCGTGCTGATTTTTTTTCATATTTTTTTTCAGGAAAAGTTCACGCTAAAAATTGATTTTTTGTAGTTTGACTTCAGATTTCTTTTATAGTTCAGTTCTTTTCCATTGTTCAAAGAGAGGCAAACTTCACTATCGAACAGCAAAAGTGTAAAGGTCACAAAACCCATGATGGACTCTAGTTTCGAATGTGGAATTTTTTTTCAGCTTTCCCAGCGAAATAAAAAAGTTAATTATTGATCCCGTTTTCACTACTTGGTTCAATTTTATCAAAAAAGTTTCAATCGTACATTGTTTTAGAAGCTCAAAGTGCCTCTAAGTTTCTTTGAAATTCCATAGGTGAGATTCTCAAAAATTAAGTCAATGTTTTTTTTCTGTATCCTCGAGTTCATTGTCTTTGCTACTGTCTGTCGGCCTAACTAACTTGATTTCCGTTTTTTTGCGAGTTTAAAAATTGGAATAATTCCTATCTTAAAGCGTTATCAAATGGGATATCAAACCGATCTATTTGATAACTTGGTTAATAAATTCAACTCCAATAGGTTATTCTGCACATTGATCGTAGACGTAACTTTTATAACTGCGACGAAAAGGTCCAGTGTTACATTTCTGTCCGAATCCCGCTGTGAAAAAAAAATAGTCGATCTATCATGTCTACTTTTCTTTCTCATGTACACTTTTTCAAGTCTGATCACGACATTTTTTATTGCAAATGAAATCAATTGGCGGTTTAGTTACTGCTTGGTAAATTTTGAATGCTAATATTACGCTGAAATGGCATTTCTTTTCATGTGTTTCTCAAATTGAACCTCATTCGAGATAAGACTTGGGAAGTTTTGTTAGATGTAGTTTTTGCTTAAATTTTGTCTAATTTTTGTCGACTAGCTTACTTTGATAGGTTTTTGTTGCTGTGTTGAAAATAGTGCGTGTTGAAAAAAGTTCTGTTGTGTCTAAAAAATTGAAGATGTAGAGCTCACTTTATAATGCGCTAGGTAATATGTATTTTTAAGTGAATATCCATTCTTTTGCTGATTTTCTTATTCTTTTTTAAGCTGGAATAATTGGGAAATTTGTACTTTTCTTCGTGCCTTGTAAAACCTTGGGTCCAGATTTCGATAATCATAGTTTGTCTTTTTAGTCAAAGAAAATGGGAACGGAGTTAAAGATCTGGCAGCTATGTGTCATCAATCCAACATGAGACCTGCCGCAGTAAAAGTAACCGAAATTGTCGGTTAGTAAATTTTCGCTCACTTCATTTGTGAAAAAAAGACGTTGCAGTTTCTCTGTCGTTCAAGGACTAATTGAAATTCAGTCATCCACAGCAAGCTACGGTACCGCACTGGTTGCCATCCTCAGTCTTTAATTATTATGGTTTGCAAATAGCTATCAGTCAAAGCCCGAACTGACAAAAGAATCCGGAAACGGGAATTAATAAACGCTATCTTTCCATTAAAGTTCCGACAACCAGCTAACCAGTGCCTACGCAATATTTTATCTTCAAGACTTTGTAAATTTTTGTTTTGAAGCTTTGGTTTTGGAAATTGCACGCAGAGGTTACGGTAGAGATAAAATTACGCCCCCGGCGCATCCCTAAAGGGTCGAAACATTTTAAAGCTGCAATCATGAAATTTTCGAGCATCCCGTAAAAAAAACAAAATGATATTGCATATAATGCAGATGAGAAGACGATAGCTGCAAATGGAGAACAACTGGCAAGTTCGGCCTTTCGACAGGTGGGAGTTCCTCAGCCTATGGTTCAGAACCATGTTACAAGGGCCGACGACTTTTCATCTACCAACCGCTTTGCTCATATGCTCGCAAATGGACACGATTTGGAAACTAGAGATGTGAGGTCACAGTTAGAAGAACAGTCAAATCAGCTGAAAGAGGCAATGAAGTCGGCGAGTGAAAAAGAGGTAGTGATAGTTGAGAAGTTAGATCAAGTGTGCTCTATGTTGGAGCGCCTAAGCTCGCGTCAAGATCGGCTGGAATCTAAAGTGGATGAGTTGCTGAATAAACCAAATTCTGAAAGTAGTGCTTCCAGAACCTTGGACAACCTCAGTGCGAGAACGTCTCTGCTGGAGACCAAAATTGAAATGATAGAGGTTGGTGGAATTTTATCGAGCTCCATATTATTCGAATTAATAAGATTCAGTATTCAAACAATTTTTTGTTGAAAAGTTCCAGCTGGACATTGCTAGATTTAGGATAACTGTCCATAAATTGTCACTTGAAAGCCCCTAACGATCTTCGCTGATACGAAGGGATAAGATATTTCTAGCTAATCGATCAATTAAAGGACTGTTCAACTATTATTGTTTAGAGTGAAAATTCAAGAATATATCGTCAGAGTCCTGTAGCATCTATCACCAGAAACAGCCATTCATCAATTATCGATCAGCAGCGTCTTGTAAACGGAAATAACACAAAACATTTAGATGGTTTATCAATTACAGAACTAAACGATAGCAATAGCTCCATCAAATCATCGAATGCTAAATCTCGTGAAGGTAAACACTTCACAAACTCTCAGGTATTTCCCCCCAATTTTCGAAGTGTTTGTCCAGACAATTTTCGATGATCGAAATAACTGATTTTTGTTATTTGCAGTGTATGATCAGCGAGCTCCAAAAAATGTGGTGCTCGAATCAAACTATAGGGTTTCTTACAGTTTCAAAAAAATTTTCACCGCAGATTAAGTTTTTAGTAGCAATTATTTGAAATAAGTTGAAGGGCAGTCGCAAGTTTCTATGTTTGTTCCTGATTCAAGCTGTGTTGATTGCTTATTACCCTTTCGATGAGGAATGATTTTGCAATCGAGTACTAGACTTTTCCCTTAAATAACTTTGTTGACAGAATGGTCAATTTTGTAGGAAGTAAATTTCACGACTGCTGTTATGCAGACTGCTGACATGCTCGGTTTCTTGAAAATTTTAACAAAATACTATATTTTAGGTTGTAATTAGGGGAAGTTCGTTTCAGGTAATAGCTTTTTTTTCTAATTAATTTCTTGAAACAAGATTTTGTTGTTGCATATTTGTTATTTTTTCCTTCATAGGTCTGACAAATTTTTCGTATGCTAAATGCCATGCCATTTTGTATACAAATGGGTACAGCAGCCTAGCAGTAAGTTTTAGGCAAGAAAATTGCGGCCAAAAAATTGATAATTTAGAATCATAAAAAAACTTATTGAATTGGTAGGGTCGCATTTATCTTAGGCCGCTGCTCTCAATCCATTTTATTGTTTTACAAAAAATTTAGGTATTGATCCTAAGAAAACCAAGCCAATGGCTTAGTTCCTATATATTGAGACATACGCAGATAAGGTGGAAGTAGTGCATAAGTTCAAAAAAGTATTTGAAAGAGTCTGGATAAACGACCTCATCTTTTACTTCGCGTTTTTAATTGTATACTGTTTTTTATATGTTTGTTACGACCATTTGAAAAATGGGGAGGAATTTTGCATTCTGGTGGATTTCAGTTTTTTCTTTTTTTTCCACAAAAAATCAGGAACCACAAATTATCATCGGAATGGGACGAGTGATATAACATTATAAAGCCCTTTCAGTCGTGATTCGAAAGAAATTTAAAACATGACGTTTTTCTCGTGTTAAGAAAAAAGCTTTGAAATTTTCGATTTTTGGTCTTTTGTCGAACTAGTAAGGTCAGCGTGCAGGCTTTGTTTTTTTTACCCTTGCGATAAACAAGAGTATTGCAATCGAGTATTAGAGTTTTTCACGTAAATAACTGTTAACAGAATGGTCAATTTTAGTAGGAATGATAAATTTCACGACTGCTGTTATGCATACTGATGACATGCTCGATTTCTTGAAAGTTTTAATAAAATACTATATTATGAGTAGTAATAATGGGGAATTCTTTTCAGGTAATAGTTTTTTAAATAAATTTGAAACCGTTTTTTTTGCAGATTCGTCGTTTCTTCCAAGTTTCCGTCGGCTCATCCATTTTTTAAATGCAGTTTGTATTATTTGGTACTTTTGTTTCGTTTTTTTTTCTGCTCAAACGGTTTCGGCTTTTGTTATTTCAGCTCAGTCAAATTATGTTGCGTTGCTTTGAGTTTAAATTTACTTAAATGTGTTTTCCCATTTTTTGTAGCTCAGAACTTTTCATATGCTGAATGCAGTTTTCTTCGATCAATTATCATGTCATTTTGTTTATAAATAGGTACAGCAACCTAGCATTTATATTTAGGCGAAAAAGTTGCGCCGAATAAATGTATTACCTAGAACCATAAAAGAACTGATTGTTTTGCTAGGGTCGCATTTAGCTTAGGTCACTGCTCTTAATCCATTTTATTGTTTTACAAAAAATTTTAATTATTGAATGGCTTAGTTTTCTAATGGCTTAGTTCCTATTTTTGAGACATACACAGATGAGCTGGAAGTAGTGTATAAGCTCAAAAAAGATTTTGAATTAGTCTGGCCAAACGACCTTATCTTTTTTTTCGTATTTTTTCATTGTATACTGTTTTTTATATGTTTGTTACGACCATTTGAAAAATGGGGAGGAATTTTGCATTCGGGTGGATTTCTGTTTTTTCTTTTTTTTCCACAAAAAATCAGGTACCACAAATTATCATCGGAATGGGACGAGTGATATAACATTATAAAGCCCTTTCAGTCGTGATTCGAAAGAAATTTAAAACATGACGTTTTTCTCGTGTTAAGAAAAAAGCTTTGAAATTTTCGATTTTTGGTCTTTTGTCGAACTAGTAAGGTCAGTGTGCAGGCTTTGTTTTTTTTACCCTTGCGATAAACAAGAGTATTGCAATCGAGTATTAGAATTTTTCACGTAAATAACTGTTAACAGAATGGTCAATTTTAGTAGGAATGATAAATTTCACGACTGCTGTTATGCAGACTGATGACATGCTCGATTTCTTGAAAGTTTTAATAAAATACTATATTATGAGTAGTAATTATGGGGAATTCTTTTCAGGTAATAGTTTTTTAAATAAATTTGAAACCGTTTTTTTTTTGCAGATTCGTCGTTTCTTCCAAGTTTCCGTCGGCTCATCCATTTTTTAAATGCAGTTTGTATTATTTGGTACTTTTGTTTCGTTTTTTTTCTGCTCAAACGGTTTCGGCTTTTGTTATTTCAGCTCAGTCAAATTATGTTGCGTTGCTTTGAGTTTAAATTTACTTAAATGTGTTTTCCAATTTTTTGTAGCTCTGAGAACCTTTCATATGCTGAATGCAGTTTTCTTCGATCAATTATCATGTCATTTTGTTTATAAATAGGTACAGCAACCTAGCATTTATATTTAGGCGAAAAAGTTGCGCCGAATAAATGTATTACCTAGAACCATAAAAGAACTGATTGTATTGCTAGGGTCGCATTTAGCTTAGGTCACTGCTCTTAATCCATTTTATTGTTTTACAAAAAATTTTAATTATTGAATGGCTTAGTTTTCTAATGGCTTAGTTCCTGTTTTTGAGACATACACAGATGAGCTGGAAGTAGTGTATAAGTTCAAAAAAGATTTTGAATTAGTCTGGCCAAACGACCTCATCTTTTTTTTCGTATTTTTTCATTGTATACTATTTTTTCTGTTTTTGTTCCGATCATTTGAGAAATGGGGAGGAATTTCGTATTCTGGTCGGTTTCAGTTGTTTCCACGAAAATTCAGGTGCCTTAAATAATCATTGGAATGGGCCGAGTGATATATCACATTAAAGCCATTTCAGTCGAGATTCTTAACGGAAATTTAAAACATGGTAATTTTCTTGTCGAGAAAAACCGCTTTGAAATTTTCGATTTCTGGTCTTTTGTCGAACTAGTAACGTCAGCGTGCAGGCTTTGTTTGTTTTTCAAATAAATTTGTTGAAACAGGGTTTTCTTTTGAATATGTGTTGTTTTCGTCCTAGTTTCCGTCGGCTCATCTTCCATTTTTAAATGCAGTTTGTGTTCTTCGGTACTGGTTCGTTTGTTCTTCTTTCGATTGAACGGGTTTGGCTTATGCTATCTCAGTTTAGTCAAATTATGTTGCATTGATTCGAGGATAAATTTACTCTAATGCTTTATATGTTTCCTAAAAATTTTGGAACTTCATAGGTCTGACAACTTTTTCGTATGCTAAATGCCATGCCAATTTTTTTTTACAAATAGGTACAGCAGCCTGGCAGTAAAATTTAGGAAAAAAAATTGCGACGAAAAATTGGATTACCTAGAACCGTAATCGAACTTATTGTTATGCTAGGGTCGCATTTATCTTAGGCGAGTGCTCTCAACCCATCGTTTTGTTCTCTAGAAAATCTAGATATTGAATATTGATAAAACCAGTCCTATAGCTTAGTTCCCTAAAGGCTTAGTTCCTAAAAATTGAGACATACATAGATAAGTAAGAAGTAGTCCTAAATTTGAAAAAAGATAACGAATTAAACTGGCCAAACGACCTCATCTTTTACTGCGTGTGTTTCTACTTATTTACAGTTTTTTGAATTTTTGTTCCGATCATTTGAAAAATGGGGAGGGGTTTTGTATTCTGGTAGGTTTCAGTTTTTCTTTTTATTTCCACGAAAAATCAGGTACCACATAGTCATAGGAATGGGCCGAGTGATATATCCAAATAAAGCTCTGTCAGTCGTGATTCGAAAGAAATTTAAAACATGACTTTTTTCGTGTCGAAAAAAACTGGTTAAAAATTTTTGAGTTGTGGTCTAATTTCGAGCTAGTAAGGTCAGCGTGCCGGCTTACTTTTGGTTATTACCCTTGCGATAAGCAAGGGTATTGCAATCGGATACGAGGCTTTTTTCCCATAACTAACTTTGTTCATAGAATGGTCAATTTTAGTAGTCTATTTTATCCGAGTCATATATCCAAATAAAGCTCTGTCAGTCGTGATTCGAAAGAAATTTAAAACATGACTTTTTTCTCGTATCGAAAAAAAACTGGTTAAAAATTTTTGACTTGTGGTCTAATTTCGAGCTAGTAAGGTCAGCGTGCCGGCTTACTTTTGGTTATTACCCTTGCGATAAGCAAGGGTATTGCAATCGGATACGAGGCTTTTTTCCCATAACTAACTTTGGTCATAGAATGGTCAATTTTAGTAGTCTATTTTAGCCGAGTGATATATCCAAATAAAGCTCTGTCAGTCGTGATTCGAAAGAAATTTTAAACATGACTTTTTTCTCGTGTCAAGAAAAAAGCTTTGAAATTTCGATTTTTGGTCTTTTGTCGAACTAGTAAGGTCAGCGTGCAGGCTTTGTTTTTTTTTACCCTTGCGATAAACAAGAGTATTGGAATCGAGTATTAGAATTTTTCACGTAAATAACTGTTAACAGAATGGTCAATTTTAGTAGGAATGATAAATTTCACGACTGCTGTTATGCATACTGATGACATGCTCGATTTCTTGAAAGTTTTAATAAAATACTATATTATGAGTAGTAATAATGGGGAATTCTTTTCAGGTAATAGTTTTTTAAATAAATTTGAAACCGTTTTTTTTGCAGATTCGTCGTTTCTTCCAAGTTTCCGTCGGCTCATC